GATACAGTTTCAGAACACAACACAATGAAGGTGTTTGGATTGGCGGTGTCTTTGAGTAAGTACTGAAATGAGGAGAAATCCATCTCTGGAACAAGTCCATTAGGGGGAACGAAATACAAAAGTGCGAAACAACCGCAAGGAGTTCGTGCACGTCTAGCCATGATGACAATAGAACTACGAATGAAAAATTTAATAAAGGTTATATCACGAATAGTCTGAAAGGCAGTATGGGTGAACTCAGTAGTGCAAGCCTTTATATAGAATGTCGTGTTTGCTAGGTAGATGGAAAGTACATAAATTGGGCATTAAGTATGCAAATGCATAAAACAAACGTACACAATTAAATTTATTTAGATTAACAACCAATATATAGACGAAATTATGTAATAAGCATGAGTAGATTGTCATATGTTACTAAAAATAAATATTGTAATTATTTGTTTCTTTAATCAAATGGTTATACATTAATTACATTAATTATAATTTAATGTTAATATTATCATTGTTAGTATCATTATTTTTAATTTTGTAATTATTTGGGTAATTTATCTAAGTAAATGCATTGTTGTTGTGAACAACGGAGTTGTATGTTGTTTTTTATGTTATTTTGTTCTGTGACAGTGGATGAGAATATTAGAGTAAAGTATGATCAAAGCTATGAGAAAAATAATTATGTATGGTCACAACTTTGAAAAAATAAGAATTTTTTTTTGTGATCAACGGGGTTTATAATTGTTAGAGATAATATCGGAATATATATGTGTGATATATTTTCCATATTGATCTTATTATATATTTTCCGTATTGATCTTATTAGGAGAATAATATATTTAGGTTTATTATAATTTAAAGATATTATTAAAGTATATCTTTTACGAAGATTGTTTCCTATCTTATGTTCTTAGGTTTTGTATAAATACTCTACCTATGGATGAATAATGATAAAGCAATACAAAAGCTATTCATTCTCTCTTCTCCCTAATTTGTCATGGTATCAAGATCAGGTTAAATCTTGGGACCGGTCATAAAAAATATACCCCCTACCGGTGGGTTTAATTTTAAACCCACCGGTGTGATGATCCTATAAAAAAAATTGCCAAATTTTTTTTACTTTATTCCGCTGTGCAAGTTAGTGTTGGTGTAGAGTTTGAGTTGATGACTTGATGTATACATTACATCATGCGTGGCTTTACTAAGCCTTGAGATCAAAATAAATGTGTTGGTGTGTCTTTCACTCTCAAAGATGAAAAAAAAAAACAAAAAATAAAAAAAAAGTAACAAAAAAAAATTTCGGCTGTCTTGTGTCGTGAGACAAGAAATTGGTTCTCCTTGTGCCATGAGACAAGGTTTGTGAATTGATTCGAGCATAATTTTTTCTCCTTTGGATTTGAGTGTGGTTTACTCTGAAAGCCCAATAGAAAATTTGAGTGTGGTTTACTCTAAAAGACCAATACAAAATTTGAGTGTGGTTTACTCTAAAAGACCTATTCGAGTGTGGTTTACTCTAAAAGACCAATAAGAAATTTGAGTGTGGTTTACTCAAAAAGACCAATAAGAAATTTGAGTGTGGTTTACTCTGACAAACCAATATTTGATTGGAGCTCGGTTTTTCTCTTGAAAAACCAAAATTGTTATATTTGCAGGTTCGAAAAGAATGACGTTCCTGTTTGATTGATGACAGATGAGTTCGAAAAGATGAACGTTCTCATCATTGAAGAATGAAAAAAAATTTAATTTAAGGCGACATCACAACAGTGTGCATCTCGGCTTCAACAATTTGAAGAATTTCCAATCGCAACGTTCGTGTTACTGCCGTTACGATTGCGGGAGGGTGTTACAGATAATATCGGAAAATATATGTGTGATATATTTTCCGTATTGATCTTATTAGGAGAATAATATATTAAGGTTTATTATACTTTAAAAATATTATTATAGTATATCTTTTACGAAGATTGTTTCCTATCTTATGTTCTTAGGTTTTGTATAAATACTCTACCTATGGATGAATAATGATCAAGCAATACGAAAGCTATTCATTCTCTCTTCTCCCTAATTTGTCAATAATTGTAAAAAAAATAATTTTATATACATATGTCACTCACTCCATAACATGTAAACATCATAACTAGTGAATTTCATTAACTTCCTTAACAAGTAACAACTTTTTTAGCTATACATTTTAGGTGTAGAAAAATTTGGTCAATTATGTATACACCGACCTTTGTCTGTGAGTAATGACATAAACGATTTAGAGTAGTTAATAAACTCAGTGACTCATAAGTCAACACTAGTGTTAAATTGCTTATCCACTTTCTCTATTGTCTATTTAAGTACATGTTGTTTAGTAAATATAAAAAGGTAGTATTAGTCGACTATACTTTAACATTATTACGAAATATACAAAATATTCAAAGCTATTTAAATTTTGGATGTGAGCGGGAGAATTTTTTATTGGATGGTAGTTATTAGATGGGTTAGTAAATGCAATTTAATTTTCTAAAAGACCATGATTAACGATGGTAAAAAAATTTAGGAAAATTTCTCAAAACCAACCTTTTAAAATGTCCACTTTATTTAAAAAAAACTTTTTAAATATTTTTTTGCTATTTCGGACCACATTATAAAATTTTATTTACAAACACAACCAAATGTTACGAGTGTGCGAGTCTCGTGACCTCCTATACTGCTTAATACGTACACCCCCTTTCCCTCCTATTAAGGCCCTGTTTGATTCACCTTAATTTTGCTGAACTGAAATTATTTTTACAGAACTGAACTTATTTTTACTGAACTGAAATTAATTTTACTGAACTGAAATTATTTTTACTGAAATTCAATTATTTTTACTGAACTGAAATTATTTTTACTGATTTTCTATTATAATTCTTCTTTAAGAAAACTGAATTTTACTGAACTGAACTTATTTTTACTGAACTGAAATTATTTTTACTGAACTGAAATTAATTTTACTGAACTGAAATAATTTTTACTGAACTGAAATTATTTTTACTTAATCTTATTTTTTTAAGGTGAAGAGAACAGGGACTAACTCCTATTAAAACCTCTGCTTCTCTTTCTTTCCTCTTTAAAAACTGTGAACAATGGTATTTATTTCATAATTTTTTAATTTAAATTTTTTTCAGAAAATGCAATTTAAAAACAATATTTAAAAGATGTATTACAACCAAATCACATGGCGCATGACCTGGTTGGTTCATTTTCACGTGGAACGAAGCATAAGTTTACCATGCAATGGTATATACCATTTGATGGTATACTTTTATGCCACCATGGTAGTAAAAATTTCCAACTTTTGGATGATTACACTGTGATATAAAATTATACCACTAGTGTTGATGCTTTAGGTGGGATAGATCACACTTGGGGGTCCTAATTTAGTTGGGCTGCTCGCGAGTCACCCGTACTCGACTGGTTTAACGCCCGGTCATAAATCAGCTCGAGTTAGCGCCACTTAAATTCGACTCCACTCGAGATGTTAACGAGAACGCATTGATCAAGCTCTAAATTGACATCATAATCTCATGAGAAACTCGACATCGACATTTAAATTTCAATTACATATTTGTTACATCCAAGTTATAAACAAATTTAACATTGGAACTTAATAACAATGTTACATATTTCAAAGTGCTTATTCAACATTCGTTTTAAACATTCTTTATTTACATACATATTCACCCTTGGAATAGGGTTATACGTTCTTTTCCATAATGATAAAAATACATTTTATTCATAACATAACATAATCAAAAGGTGATATTGTAAAACGTTATAAAAATAACCGAGATACTAGTAGGGTGCATTGCATTATGTTTTATGGTTTTTTTTTTAAATAAAATAATAATGTTTTATGGTTTATTATGGACAATACTGGTAAATTAAAAGACTTTGCTAAAAACGAATCCCCTTTTTTTTCAAAGGTTGAATAAACTAATACATTAATAAACATACCATGCATAAACTCAATTACAATTTAACAATGATTATTGCACTTCTAAATAACCTTTATTAACTTTTATAAATACTAGTACGTCTACAAAAATACCAATACGGGCCATTTCCCAACACAATAGTCGTCCGTACTTACTCGTCAGTGTGCAACTAATTATAAACTCCATTAAATTTTATTTTGGTTCAAATCTCTTATTATAGTTATTAATGTATTTAATTCATTACTCATGTTATATTCAAAAGCTAATTTTCTCGCGCTTCTATTCTTTGAATTTTTTCCAATAATAATTACTTTCCTCTAAAAGTTGTGACAAACTAAACATGATGGAACTATTTTAAATTCCAGGAGATACCAATCCGGGTAAGTACCTATAAACATTTGGTTAAAAAATTTATAATTTCCAATTTTTGAGCAATTTGTAAATAAAAATCCAAACAATTAACTCTTATGGCCCGGCTATTGTAATTCGACCATGTTGCACAATTAACTTATTAGTGAATGACCGTACCCCTATGCTTAATATTTTAGCTGAAGGAAATTTATTGGCCCTACAACAGTTGACGTCTAAAATTGGGCCCATAAACCAGCCCAACCAGATTCCATAATCTATCAGATCATAACTCTAACTGAGTAATTGTAGACCCATAATGCCATATGACGAAACATATAGGCCCGACACATTTGAATCCAATGAAATACTTTCTAGGAAACATGTTTTTGGATCTAAACTGGGAATGATTTCAACATTATTCTACAATTGTAATCCAACTTCAACTAACCATTAAAAGACTTAATTCCATTTTGTTCTGGTAATTCCTTCATAACACTATGACGATTAGCCACCTTGTTATAATAAAAATCCCATAACCGATCCTACAAAATTAAAGTTGATTGGTCTCCTGGTGTATAAACGATGAAGTCATGTGCAATTTTATATAATGATCCTATAGTACACTAACAATCTAATCACACCATATGAGGTCTGCTACGTTTGAAATAATTTTTCGTAATAACAAATTTTTATTTGAAAACCCAAACACCATATATAACGTTTTGCAATTGATATTAAGATACACTAGTAATGCTACAGCAATCGTTCATATTAGACTAACTACACATATGCCTCTCATTCTCCTTCCTCGGTGGGTGCCTTTTTCGCGTTTACGGTATTCGAAATCCCACGATAAGAACACAAGTCAGCCAGCCTTCTTCTATCTCAACAATGTACTACCAGTTTTGAGACGTCCTGCAACAAACAAACCAAACAAGACATTAAGGACCTTTACTATAATACAACAGAACCAACTATATTTAATGAACTACCATATACGGTATTCCTTTTTCATGAAAACTCACTTTGTACATTGGCAGTTCGGGCAGTCCTTCCGTGTCCCTAGCTTGTTTAGGGTGTCTTTCACCATAAGCAACATCTAACAACTACGATTCGTGTTATTTGTGGCACTTAATACAAAAAATAAGAGGATACAATACAAGGACCGCTGTACTACTGACTTACCCCTAGTTTGCCATAATCATCGGAGGTGTAACGGTCTAACTTTGCTACGTCCCCTATCTGCTTCATGCCCCAGGCCTTAATTCTGGGGAATGTATCCCATTTCAAGGGTTCCAGATTGAGTCGGTCTAGGTAGAATATCTAAGCACAAGTTAAAACCGATGTTCTTAGACTTATTTTTAACAACAACTAAATTAACTCAAAATGATCGAATCAACAAAAAGTACTTACAACCCCAAATATTGAGCATCCACCGCACCCTCCTGCAAATCCATTTGCATAAAATCTTCTTGCAAAGCTGGATACATTGTCCATGAATTTTGTAAGTACCAAGTCACACCAATCATAGTCAATGCTATCCATCGCACAACTAACAGCAGGTAATAGATCATAGGCAAGTCTGGATGATTGCGTTGGACATAAAACCATTTGAAGTGCAATAATCAAGAACAAAGTCTTGAATTCTTCTTCTTGGTGCTCTTCAAAACGCTCCTTCAACTTGTCCAACATTTCAACAGTCACAGGAATCCCTACTAATGTCCAAATGAGATGCGATTCAAGATGCATGATATGTACTATAAATTATGCACTGAGTACAATGTAAACAAAATTAATGGTACATGTTTAATCACATTTCTTGACATAGCAGATTATAATGATTATTGAGCAATTATTTTTTATCTAAAAAAAAAATTAAAAATTAAAATTAGATCTCTTAGCAAATACAGAGGATCTGACAAATTTTAAGCTAACCAATTGAAAACTTACACTATCGTCCACCGACTCTGTATTCACATAATTTTGATCGCCCGATATGGCTTCAGCTTCATGACCGCCGTTCTGGTTTCGGTATCGCTTAACCATCGTGATGCTGTCAATGACTGAGCATGATTAGATAATCCTTTGACCATAACAATCACATACCCTTTCCATACATTTTGCGAAGCATCAATTAAAGGCTTAGGATCGGATCCATACCTCGGTGATATAAACAAAAATTCCTTCAAAACAGTGAAAAATAGAATAATTGCTTCAAACCTGTGATATAAACAACAATTACTACAACACTAGATATGTAATTTGGATTCGATTCAGGTACAACAAAGAGCAGACGAACTTATGACTAACCCTAACGGCGAATGATGTCGGTAATGATGTTAACGACTGTTTGGAGGAAAACCGTTTATGTGGAAACATACGGAGTCAATTACCTGGCATATACTACGTGGAAATATTTACAAATCAGCAGACGGAAAAGACTAGAACATCCTTACAAAAGTAATGTGAAAAGACTGGCGTGCCCTTAGATGTGCGAATTACAACAATCTAAAGGATTAACCTGAATTTGCCGTTCGTTAAATTACCTCATCCTTACAAAGTTAAATTGCACATACTTGAGAGATTATTGGGGGTTCAAGACCAAGGCATCTGAACACATGACAACTGGGGTGGTGACTGCCGAGGTTCATCATTTTCATAAACAATTGAATTTTATTAAGGGGGTAAAAGAAGAGCTGTCAATTCGGGTAAACGGGTCAGATTGGGGTCAGGTAAAAGTGGGTCGGGTCAATTCAGATTAATTCCATAACCTATGCGGGTTGGGTTTGGGTTTGGGTTGGGTCATGCTAGAGTCAGGTCACGTCGGGTCATACTTCTTATCGGGTTCGGGTCAAGTTTAGGTCGGGTTAATAACAGGTCGGGTTACATTCGGGTCGGGTGAACGTACAATAGGTCAGGTTTAATTCGGGTTTTCACGGGTTAGGGTCATTCTCGGGTTCAAGTAAATAATTTGCGGGTTAGAATCAGGTCGGGTCATTCTCAGGTTTGAGTCGAGTTCGGTTCAAGTCAATAATTTGCGGATTATAATTAGGTCGGGTCATTTTCAAGTTGGGTCATTCTCGGGTTCAATGCAAGTCGGGTTTGGCTCAAGTCAATATTTTGCGGGTTATAATCAGGTTGGGTCATTTCTAAGTCGGTTCATTCTCGGATTCAAGTCGGGTTATGTTCAAGTCAATAATTTGCAGGTTACAATCAGGTTGGGTCATTTCCAAGCCAGGTCATATTCGGGTTCAACTAACTATAAATAGATAATTATCATTTTTATCAATCTAATTGTTTCCTTTGACTATAATATATATGGCAATATATTAGGGAACTATAATCCATAATTTAGGAAGATAATTATCTCCTTTGACCATAAAACAAATATGTACTATATTTAACTCTTAAATTTGAGGATCATGTTCCTTTCTTTTGCTGGCTTGGACCGAATAGGTCTCCCAAGACAAAATGCTTTGATAAAAAATAATAAGGTGGTCTAAATTGCATTTAAGGTGATTTGAAATCGAGTCAGGAACATTTGGGTTGAATTTAGGTCGTGTCAATAACAAGTTGTGTTAATTTCGAGTTAGGTGAATAACAAGTCGGGTTAAATTTTTGGGTTGGGTAAGTAATAGGTATAGTAAAATTCGGATCAGGTCAATAAAAAGTCGGGTTGAATTTGGGTAAGGTCAATAACAAGTCGGGTTAATTTCAGGTCGGGTTTTAATAGTTTGGATTAAATTTCGGGTCGGGTTAGGAACGAGTCGGGTTGAATTTAGGTCAGGTTAGTAACAAATCGGGTTAAATTCGGGTTTTGACGGGTTAAAACGGGGATCAATTTCGATTCAAGTCGGGTTCGGTGCAAGTTAATTAAATTGGCTGCTGTAAACTTGTAAATCGGTGCAAGTTGTATACCAATAAATTGGATGTTTAAAAGCAAATTGAATGGTTCCACACACCCAATTGGACTCCTGGAGGGTATTAGGGACCATGGTAAACATTTCGGCAATTTTTATTCCCGGGCGAAAAAAAGTCAAAAAATTCCAAAATTGAAGACTAATATCCACGATTTTTGAGAAATTTTGGAGGTTTCGGGGCTCGATGTTGAAAAGTTTTGAAATTTTAGAGGATACATCTCGGGGTCATATAATGCTATTTGGAACCATATATGATCATTATTTGTTGTCATAAATGTTCGTGGTAGGGTTGAATTAATGAAATCGGGGCAAGTTGCAAACCGATAAATTTGTCGTTTATAGGCAAATTGGATGGTTCCACCCACCCAACTGGAATCCCGGAGGGTCTTAGGGACCATGTTAAACATTTCGGCAATTTTTATTTTCGGCTAAAAAAATAATCAAAAATTTTCAAAATTGAAGGCTAATATCCACGCTTTTTGAGAAATTTTGAAGGTTTCGGGGCCCGGTGTAGAAAAGTATCAGTTTTTTAGGGAATAAATCTCGGGGGCATATAATGCCGTTTGGAACTATATAAGATCATTATATGTTGTCATAATGTTTGTAATAGGCTTGAGTTAATGAAATCCATGAAAGTTGTAAACCGGTAATTAAATTGACCATTTAAGGCAAATAGGATGGTTCCACCAACCCCATTGGACTCCCGGAGGACATTAGGGACCATGGTAAACATTTTGTAAATTTTTATTTCCAAGCAAAAAAAAGTGAAAAAATTCCAATATTAAAGACTAATATCCACGATTTTTGAGAAATTTTGGAGGTTTCAGGGCTCGATTTTGAAAAGTCTTGAAATTTTAGGGGATACATCTCGGGGTCATATAATGCTGTTTGGAACCATATATGATCATTATTTGTTGTCATAAATGTTCGTGGTAGGCTTGAATTAATGAAATCGACGCAAGTTGCAAACCGATAAATTTGTCGTTTAAAGGCAAATTGGATGGTTCCACTGACCCAAATGGACTCCCGGAGAGTATAAGTGACCATGGTAAACATTTCGGCAATTTTTATTTTCGGCTAAAAAATAATCAAAAAATTTCAAAATTGAAGGCTAATATCCACGCTTTTTGAGAAATTTTGGAGGTTTCGGGGCCCGGTGTAGTATCAATATTTTAGGGAATACATCTCGAGGGCATATAATGTCGTTTGGAACTATATATGATCATTATATGTTGTCATAATGTTTGTAATAGGCTTGAGTTAATGAAATTTGTGAAAGTTGTAAACCAGTTATTAAATTGACCATTTATGGCAAATTGGATGGTTCCACCAACCTCATTGGACTCCCGGAGAATATTAGGGACTATGGTAAATATTTCGGAAATTTTTATTTACAAGCGAAAAATAGTCAAAAAATTCCAAAATTGAAGACTAATATCCACGATTTTTGAGAAATTTTGGAGGTTTCGGGGCTCAATGTTGAAAAGTTTTGAAATTTTAGAGGATATATCTTGGGGTCATATAATGCTGTTTGGAACCATATATGATCATTATTTGTTGTCATAAATGTTCGTGGTAGGGTTGAATTAATGAAATCGGGGCAAGTTGCAAACCGATAAATTTGTCGTTTATAGGCAAATTGGATGGTTCCACCCACCCAACTGGAATCCCGGAGGGTCTTAGGGACCATGTTAAACATTTCGGCAATTTTTATTTTCGGCTAAAAAAATAATCAAAAATTTTCAAAATTGAAGGCTAATATCCACGCTTTTTGAGAAATTTTGGAGGTTTCGGGGCCCGGTGTAGAAAAGTATCATTATTTTAGGGAATACATCTCGAGGGCATATAATGCCGTTTGGAACCATACATGATCATTATATGTTGTCATAATGTTTGTAATACGCTTGAGTTAATGAAATCCGTGAAAGTTGTAAACCGGTAATAAAATTGACCATTTAAGGCAATTTGGATGGTTCCACCAACCCCATTGGACTCCCGGAGGTTATTAGGGACCATGGTAAACATTTCGGAAATTTTTTTTTTTCAGACAAAAAAAGTCAAAAAATTCCAAAATTGAAGACTAATATCCACGATTTTTGAGAAATTTTGGAGGTTTCGAGGCTCGATGTTGAAAAGTCTTGAAATTTTAGGGGATACATCTCGGGGTCATATAATGCTGTTTGGAACAATATATGATCATTTTTTTTTGTCATAAATGTCCGTGGTAGGCTTGAATTAATGAAATCGGCGCAAGTTGCAAACCGATAAATTTGTCGTTTAATGCAAATTGGTGGTTCCACCGACCCAACTAGACTCCCGGAGGATATTAAGGACCATAATAAACATTTCGGCAAATTTTATTTTCGGCTAAAAAATAATCAAAAATTTTCAAAATCGAAGGCTAATATCCATGCTTTTTGAGAAATTTTGGAGGTTTCGGGGCCCGGTGTAGAAAAGTATCAATATTTTAGGGAATACATCTTGGGGGCATATAATGCCGTTTGGAACCATATATGATCATTATATGTTGTCATAATGTTTGGAATAGGCTTGAGTTAATGAAATCCGTGAAAGTTGTAAACTGGTAATTAAATTGACCATTTAAGGGAATTTAGATGGTTCCACCAACCCCATTGGACTCCCGGAGGATATTAGGGACCATGGTAAATGTTTCGGAAATTTTTATTTCCAGGCGAAAAAAAGTCAAAAAATTCCAAAATTGAAGACTAATATCCACGATTTTTGAGAAATTTTGGAGGTTTCGGGCTCGATATTGAAGCCTTGAAATTTTATGGGATACATCTCGGGGTCATATAATGCTGTTTGGAACCATATATGATAAATATTTGTTGTTATAAATGTTTGTGGTAAGCTAGAGTTAATGAAATCGGTGCAAGTTGTAAACAGGTAAATTGGTCGTTTAAAGGCAAATTGGATGGTTCCACCCACCCAATGGGACTCCCGGACGCTATTAGGGACCATGTTAAACATTTGGGCAATTTTTATTTTCGGGCAAAGAATAAGTCAAATAATTTAAAATTGAAGGCTAATATCCACGCTTTTTGAGAAATTTTGGAGGATTCGGGGCCCGGTGTCGAAAAAGTCTTGAAATTCTAGGGGATACATCTCGGGGTCGATTAATGTCGTTTGGAGCCATTTATGATCATTATTTGTTGTCATAAATGTTCGTGGTAAGCTTGAGTTAATGAAATCGGTGCAAGTTATAAACCGGTAAATTGGACGTTTAAAGGCAAATTGGATGGTTATACCCACCCAATTGGACTATAGGAGGGTATTAGGAAATATGGTAATCATTTCGGTTTTAAGTGAAATTTTTTTTAAAAAAATTCCAAAATTGAAGGCTAATATCTACTCGTTTTGAGAAATAATTTTAGGTTTCAGGGCTCGGTGCCAAAAATCATTGAGATTTAAAGGGATACATCTCGGGGTCATATAATGTCATTTGGAACCATATATGATCATTATTTGTTGTCATAAATGTTCGTGGTAGGCTTGAGTTAATGAAATCGGTGCAAGTTGTAAACCGGTAAATTGTTCGTTTAATGGCAAATTGGATGGTTCCACCCACCCAACTAGACTCCCGGAAAGTATTAGGGACAGTAGGGAATATT